CCTGATCCTTCTCATCAATAAGATATGGGCTCATCTGTGTTCCCATTTCCCCAGTAGGAAGGAGTCCCTGATATCACCATCAATAAGTGTTTCTTCAAAGGCCAAAGCTCTTCCAAAAACACCTAGACTGTAAGATCCACGAGGGAAGGGAAGGCTGTGGCTGTGTTATTTATTCACTGCTACATCTCCGGCTCCTAGCACAGCACCTGGCACATCGCAAGTCCTCAATAAATATCTGTGATAAATTTTCCCGCCTTACAGCAGTCCTTTTCCTGCATGCAACAATGCTTCCATTAGAATGTCGCATTCCTAGATCTTCCCACAACCGGTGCCTTCTCATCTTTACAGTTATCAGGGTCAACTGCCACCTCCCCAAAGAGGCCATTTCTGACCACCCTGTCTACAGTGGCCACTCCCATCCTCTCTTCTATTTTATTTCCTTCATAGCATGTACCACATTCTGATTTCTTTTACTTGTTGTTCGTATATCCTCCCTCCATCAGAATATATGCCCCACAAGTTTCAGGATCTTGACTATTTTATTCACTGCTATATTTCCAGTACCTAGAATAGTGCGCCTCCAAAAATTGTTTAATGAATGAGTGCAGGCTGGAAACATTGGACACTTCTGTAACTCCATAAACTGCTATTCTGTAACTTGCCCTCGACCAGATTCTATTCAACAAGTTTACACTACAACAAACAAAACTCCACTCACAGCAATTCTACTTAACTCTCTTCCAAAGTTCTGAGCTATGGAAACCCAAAGCTGAGGCGAGGGGACTAAACACCAGCACTCCTGGATTCTACTGCCCTGAGGCCACCACTAAGCCAGGGGGATCACCTCATTCCTGCCTCTCCCAGTGATACCCCAAAGGAAAGTCTGGTTGGGTCAGACTAACCATAAACTCTCTCTGGATCCAAATAATCACAGAGTGGAGAATGATTGGAGCTGGGGGACAGTGGGGAGAGAGACTATTTGGCTCAGCAATTGAGAGACTGAGTTCCAGGTTAAAGAACCCAAAACTTCTAAGAATCTTCTGTCATCATCTCACACATATTCAGCAAAGAAACTGTTTCCAAACTGGGACTGTCAGGAAACAGTTTTCTTTCCACTGAGGCTGCTAAGGAGGTAGGATTTAAACCTAGGGTTGTTGAGGGCCACCTCTGACACCACAAAGCAGGAGCTTGTTGAGGATCAAGCTAACTCAGCGGAGAAATGGGGAGAGATGACTGAGAATATTATGTGAACTCCTGGACGTAGCTAGGTCTGAAGCCACGCTAGCTCTGGACTTGTCAGTAACATGAGCCAATTAATCCCCTTTTTTTTTTGATTAAAACACTTTGAGCTAAGGTTCTGTCGCTTATGTTCAGTTTGGTTTTTTTTGAGGCAGTGTCTCGGCTCTGTTGCCTAGGCAGTGGCATCACGATAGCTCACTACAGCCTCAAACTCCTGGCCTCAAGTGATCCTCTTGCCTCAGCCTCCTGAGTAGCTGAGGCTACAGGTGCGTACCACCATGCCTGGCTAATTTTTTAAAAATTTTTTGTAGAGGCGGGCCTCACTATGTTGCCCAGGCTGGGCTCAAGTAATCCTCCCACCTCGGCCTCCCAAAGTGCTGGGACTACTGGCGTGAACCACCACGCCCGGCCACTTATATTTTTAGAGTCCTGATATGAGCTATTTTTTGCTAACGATGAGCACTTATGCGAAAGGCATTGTGCTAAGTACTTCACATGTATTAACTTCTTTAATCCTCGTAACAATTCTATGAAACAGGATACCATTATTACCTTCATTTTTTTAGCTATGGACACTAAAGACCAGAGAAGTTAAGTAAATTGTCCAGGTCACAAAACTATTAAGTGACAAAATGGGATGCAAATTCCGTCCAGCCCCAGAGTGTGAATATCTAACCACCACACTATAACGCCCCATTGCAGCCAACCCTATCCAAACAGAAAATCCAACTCTCTGACCCAAGGCACTATCATCTTGGAACAGACAGGGCCCATAGACACTCTATTTGTCCTAGCTGTCCTCGATTTCATCATATGCAAAACAAGGATAATTGCAGCTTACCTAACTCATAGGGTTCCCATGAATACAGGTAGAGAACTTAAGCAGTGCCTGGCAGTTAGTAAGCATTCAATAAACAGTAGTCATTACATGAATATTATTACTCTGTGGGTCACTGAAGTGCCCCTGGCAAATACAATGCAAACGGAGGAGATCTGTCTTCTTTCATCTCTATCCTTTGGGCGAAGCATGGGCGACAGATGAGGAGGCTTTCTTGTCTTTCACCCATTGCTTAAGCTGTTTCCTCTGCCTGGGTGGCATCTCATCATTGTCCCAACTCCTGTGGAACACTACCCAACCCAAATACCACCTTTTCTGTCAAATCTTTCCAAATAAAAGGCTCCCTCTCACCACTGAATTTTTGTAGCATATAATCTGTCTTTCATGTTCTGCCCTGTGTACTTGCCAAGCCTTCTACTGGACTGTGAGCTTCCTGAAGGCAGGCCCCAGTGTTTAATCTGGAGTTCCTGTGTCTTCTTCTGGGCCCTGGAGAGAAATAGAATCCCTTGAAGAAAACGGACAGCCCTGCGGAGGCCCCAGACTTAGAGGCTGAGGCAGGCTGAGAGGCTAACCAGGATAGAATGAGGCAGGTCACCAGGAACAGGACTTGGGGTGGCAGCTCAGAATCAGGAGATAGCACAAAGAAAAGGGGTATAGTTAGGAGCAGCTGGGGGGCTGCATAAAGAAGAAAGGAGGTGAGCGGAGAGGAGGGGGTGGGGAAGGTGTGCTAAACCCAATGGGGAGCGAGATCTGAGGAACTTGGAGACTTCTGGTCTGAAGCAGAAGAGCGAGCTGTTTATTCGCCAACGATTCCCAATAATTTACAGAGGAGAGATCCCACCCTGCGGGCTTCAGAGAGGAACAAGACGCATCCCTGTATTTTCGGAGCTCCCAGTCCAGTGAAGGTGAGTGGGTGAGCACACAGAACACTACAAGGGAGAAGATGAGTGGTGCTCTGAGAAGTACAAAGCAGGGCTCCCGGCAGTAAGACACGGGATGAAAAGACCTGAGGGTGCTTCAAGGGGAGGGCGCCTATGTGGAGAGAAATGGAGGTGGATGTGTGTGTTCAAAGAGGTAGCAATTTAAAGCAGAAGCGCGAAGGACTGGGGGGCGGGCTGGAGGGACAGCCAGAAGGAGAAAGCACTGAGGAAGATGTGAAAGGGAACCATCCAAAGGTAGAATGTGAAGTAACTGCTCAGAGGGTGGGGGGTCATCTGTGTGGAGAAGCCAAGCTCCTTTCAAGGAGGGTAACAGGACGAGCACTTTGAAAAGAGGGCTCTCAGGAAAATGGAGGTGAGCAGTAGGGCACCAAGGTGTACCCTGAGGCATCTTTCAGGGGGCTTTTTGCGGGGAAAAGGAAATCGCCCTAGAAGGCGGTGGTTCTCAAACTTGAGCAGGATCAGAATTACTAGGAGGTTTTGTTAAAAGCTCAGATTGCTGGGCCCTACTCCCAGGTTTTCTGATTCAGCGGGTCTGGGCAGGACCCAAGAATCTGCATTTCTAGCAAATGATGCTGCTGCTGCTGCTGGTCCAGGAACCACACTTCGAGAACCACTGCTATAGGGGAAGGGATTCTTCAGTGAGGAGGCCCTCAAAGGCGAAAAGGAAGGTGACTTCTGAAAGGGAAATGGGGAGAGTTCTCAAGAAGTCCCTAAGGAGGGTGTTAAGGAGGAGGGTCTGTGAGGATGGGGCCTAAGAAAACGGGTCTGAGAGGAAGGTCTCTGAGCATTGGGATTTCTAGGGGGTGGGGTCTCGCCAGGATCTTTAAAACAAGACAGCAGCTCTGGGGGGACGAGTCTGGAGGATATTGGGGGCCTCCGAGGGGATAATGGAAGAAGGAGGCTTAGACCCAAAAAGGGTCTCGGAGCTGATTTCAGAGGAAAGAGAAGGGGGGAAACGGCAGGATGTAAGCAGGAATTCTGAAGGGGGTAAATCCGATAGGGTCCTGAGTAAGGTTCCTCGGGAGTATGAGAAGGGGAACCGGAGGGAGGGTTCTGAGGAAGTCTCAGGAAGCACTGGGTGGGTTGCTGATGCAGGGCAATTTTGGAGAAAATTCTCTGAAGGGTGTCTGGGGAAGATGTGGTCTTCTGAGAGAGGTCTTGGGTGTACCGGAGTGGGATAACAGACCCATCTTTTTAGGAAAAACTCTTCGGAGATCTCAGATGAGGAGACACCTCTGAGTAAAGTCTCCAAAAGAGTTTATGGAGAAGGTGGGTCTTCCGACGGGTACCTGGAGTGTCAAGAGCATAGGGTTTTTCAGAAAGAAGTCTAGGACTCCCTAAGAGCAGGTGCCCAGAAAGTTATTTTGAGAGAAAATTAGGTATGTATGGGGGTCTTCTACGGGGGGTTCTAGAGGATTCGGGAGACTTATAAGGGCAAGGTCAGGGAGGGAAATCTCTAGAAAAGTCTCTTGGTAAGGCAGGAGGTCTCTGAGTAGCGATGCAAGAGGTTCTGGGCAGGAGGGTCTCTGAGAGGGATTTCCACTGCGTATCTCAGGACGGCTCGAGGGGGTCACGAAGAGAATCTTGGGGTCTTATGAGGTTGTGAGGAGGATCTTTACAAGGTTCACCTAAAACAGATCTAGAAGGGGGGGTTTTGAAGGGTTATCTAAGAGGGGTTCAGAGAATACGAGAGAGAAACTATGAACATAGTTTTGGAACCACGGGGCGCGGGTTACTGGGAAAGATTTGGGATACGCAAAAGGGGTTTTGGAAGAGGCTGTTGGAATATGCGAGAAGAGTCCTCTGGAGATGTCAGGCAATATCTGGAGAAGATTTTTGGAATAAGTGGAGGTGGGGGAGAAGGCCTTGTGAAGACTGCTGGGGTCCATGCCCTCTAGGGCATCTCGGGGTCTGAGATCTGGGGGATACGAGGTCTCTGAGGGAGACGGTTGGGGTCTGTGAGGGAGGAGTGTGTACGGGACATGGCGGCAGCACGGTGCGCAGGGGTGGGTCTTCCAGGCCAGTTTTGGGGATCTGGGGCCATTTCAGAGCGTCTCTGAGGAAGACTTTTCGGAACAGGGCAAGGAGATCTTCGGGGAGGACAATCAGCGCACACGGGGGCACGCTGGAGGACTGGGAGGGGGTTTCTGAAACGCAGGGGACATCAGTGGAAAATCTCCAAGGAGGTTTCTGGAAGGGGGCTAGGTGGAAGGGAAAATTCTTAGGCTATGTGAGGGGAAGTCTGGGGGAGCCTGCTGGGCTATGCGAGGCAGGTCTTTGGGGGAGATTTCTGGAACGAACGGGGTGTGGAGGGGGTTTCGGGGAGCCTCTGACGAGGTCTGGAGGGTTTGTGGGGAGGCTGCTGGGGGACAGAGCCGAGACACGCGGCTGGGACACACGAGGAGGGGCCTCGCGGGGTATTTTTGGAGACAGGAGGGTGCGGATCTGGGGCCAGAGGGCGGGGGTCTGGGAGGAAGGCTGCTGGGACACAGGAGGGTCCCCGGGGAGGACGGTTGAAGCGTGAGGGGTGGGCTCTGCCGAAGCCTTTCGGAGCCCCCGAGCGCGGCCGGGGGGTGAGAGGCGCTCTCGGGGGAGGGTCCGTGGGGGGTCACGAGCGAGGTCCCGGCCCAGCCCCTCGGCGATCGGAGGTGCGAGGACGATTTCGGAGCGAAGCCTCTGAAGGGGCCCGGCCGGGAGACTCGGGCACGGGCGCGGGGATTCTCCCGGGGCCCGGCCCCGGAGGCCCGCGCTCCGCGCCCGCCGCCGCCCGCGGCTCGGGGTCCCTGAGGGGGCGGGGCCGCCCGCGCGGCCTGGGTCGCCCTGAGGGGAGCCCCGCGCGCCCCGACTCGACGCCGCCCCGCGCCCGCCCGGCCTGGCCCGAGACTCACCGCCTCGGCCGCCGCCGCCGCCGCCGCCGCCGCCCGGGCCTCCTCAGGCCACCGCCGCCGCCGTCGCCCCCTCTCTGCCCGCGAGCTCCCCTCCCTCCTCCCGCACCGACCACCGCCGCCGCCACCGCCGCCGTCGCGCTGCGTCACCGCGCCGTGCGTCACCGCCCCTAGCCCCGCCCCGACGGGGCCGCCGCGCACCGGCATTAGCTTGTGCCCCGGTGACGAACGGCACGCCAGCCAACGGGCGGCGAGGGCAGCCCGAAGGGCGGGAGGTGTGCGCCGGCAAAGGCGGGGTCCTGGCGGGGAGGGGAGCAACGGGGGTGGAATGAGGCCCTAGAGGCCCGCCCCCTCCTCAGTGGGATTGGTCCGACGTGGGGGTGACGGGCAGTCGGCCAGGCCCGGACTCGGGGCCGACGGGCGGGGAAGGGGAGGGGCGCGCGCGGCGTTGCCCAGGGCAACGGGCCCGGCGGAGCCTGGGATTGGGCCTCCAGGCCCGCAGGGGGCAGTGTTGCGCCGATCTACCTCAGCTGCCCCGAGCTAAGTCACAATTCCTTATTCTGGCGTTCGGGGCCTCCTCTTCCCCTCCCCTCTGACCCCCCTGCCCCCGAGGACTTTGCCCCGCTCTGTCCCAGGCCGTCCAGGGTGGGAGTCTGCACTCAGGCTTCTGGAATCTCAGTGTTCTTCCCTCTCCACTCTCCGAGCCTGCTGCCTCCCCTCTCAGAGGGGAACAGCGAAGCGAGACTACCCTTTTAGGACTGAAGGAGAGAATGCGTGAACGCGCTCGGCACAAATGGGAGTTGTCGCTATGACTTTTGTCGTAATTTAGTCATTCCACAAACTGTCCTGCATGAGGGTGAACTGATCAGAGGGGGAGCCCGCACTCAGAAGGCTCTTGGGTGACAGACGTGGCTTGTTACAGGAACTCGAAGAAATGCAGTCAGGGCCAGGCGTGGTGGCTCATGCCTGTAATCTCGGCACTTTGGGAGGTCGAGGAGGGAAGGATCGCTTCAGGCCAGGAGTCGGAGACCAGCCTGAGCAACATAGCGAGACCCCTGTCTCTACAAAAAAAAAAAAGGGGGCCGGGCTCGGTGGCTCCCGCCTGTAATCCTAGCACTTTGGGAGGCCGAGGCGGGCGGATTGTTTGAGCTCAGGAGCTCGAAACCAGCCTGAGCAAGAGCGAGACCCCGTCTCTACTGAAAAAAAAAATAGAAAAATTAGCCAGGTGTCCCAGCTACTCGGGAGGCTGGGGCAAGAGGATCGCTTGAGGCCAGGAGGTTGAAGTTGCAGTGTGCTATGATGAGGCCACTGCACTCTAGCCTAGGCAACAGAGCGAGACCTCGTCCCCCCCAAAAAAAAGAATTGCAGTCAGGGTGAAGTGTAGACTTCAAGACAGGGAGTGGTGAGAAGTGAGAAGAGGCCAGATGTTTGGCCACTTGAGGGAGTTTGGACTTGCCCTGAGGGCACTAGGGAGCCATGGAAGGAAGGGATTCAAGCCGGGGAAGATCATGGTGAGTGTGGGGTTTTGGAAAGATGTCTCTGGCTTACTTACATAAGGTGAACGGATTGGAGGGAATGTAACTGGGGGCTTGGAGTCCAGGGAGGCAGCTGGGGGAGGTGAAGGGGAAGAGGAGGGTTTGCATCAGGGCAGGACTGTGGGGAGGGAGGAGGTGCAGGTCGGAAGGGTGCCCGGGAGGCAGAAAGAACAGGCTCTGAGACTGGCTGGCCACATAGTGGGAGAGGGAGAAAAGTCTAGGACAAGGCCCTCTGGCTGGGATATTGGGCCTCAGAGGAGAAGCAGGTTGGGAAGATGCTGAGCCCAGCATGGGACACCCAGCAGCGAGGTCCAGAAGGGTCCCCAAACCCCAGGGTCTGGACCTTAATAGAGAAATTGGGGCTGGAGACCAAGATTTAAGGATCATCAAAGATGGTAACTGAGGCCGTGGGAGTTAGTGACCTAGCCTGGGGAGGGTTTGGAGGATGAATGGAGACAAGGAGTGGACAGAATCCTGAGAAACATAGACACTCAGGCTTTGAGCAAAGGAATTGACATTCTCAATGATGACTGAGAAGGGGCAGCTGGAGAGAGAGGAGGAAGCCAGGGGAGGGGTATCACAAACCCTATCCACTACCTCCTACATTTAAGCAACAATGTTTGCGCTATAGAATGGTTCATTGACAGATGCTGGGTCATTTATTCGTTCAACAATACTTCTTGAGTATCTAATATATGCCAGGCTCTGCTCAAGGTGCTAGAAATACAGCAATGTACAAGACAGACAAAAATCCGTGTCTTCATGAAATGTACATTCTAGTTGGGGGACACAAACAATAAATTAGGAAATACGATGTAACTTGGTGATAAGTGCTGTGGAGAAAAATAAAGCGAGCTAAGAGGATAGAGTGATGGGGTCGGAATTATTGGGGAAAGGCCTCTTTTCATCAGGTGGGATTTAACAGAAATCTGAAAGAATGAAGGGGTAAACCATGAGGGAAAGAGGGTTCCAGAAAGAGGGAACAGCAAGTGCAAAGGCCCTGTGGTAGGATCATTCACAGAACCACAAAGAGGCTAGTGTGGCTGAAGTGGAGTGAGCAAAAAGGAGAGTAGTGGAGGAAGAGGTCCAAGAGGTAATGGGGTAGGAGTGGTGGCAGATAATTTAAAGTTCATTGTAAGGACTTTGGCTTTTAAACAAATGATACAGGCAGCATGGGAGGGTTTTGAGAGGGGAGGCATGTCATCTGACTTTGGTTTTATTAGGGGGGGCAGGGTGGGATCAGGGAAACAGTATGGAGGCTGTTGCCATAGTTCAGGTGAAGGTGGGCAGGACCAGGGTATGGGCTATAGAGTGGGGAGAAGCGGGCAGGTTCTAGTTATATATATTTATATAAATATGTATAATACACACACACATATTTTGAAACAGGATCTCCCTCTGTCACCTCAACTAGAGTGCAGGGGCATCATCGTAGCTTACACTGTAGCTCACAGCAACCTCAAACTCCTGGGCTCAAGCGATCCTCCTGCCTCAGCCTCCCGAGTAGCTGGGACTACAGGCATGCGCCACCACGCCCAGCTTGTTTTTCTATTTTTTTGTAGAGACAAAGTCTTGCTCTTGCTCAGGCTGGTCTCTAACTCCTGACCTCAAGCGATCCTCCCGCCTCAGCCTCCTAGGATTACAGGTGTGAGCCATGGCGCCGGGCGAGGTTCTGGTTACATTTTGAAGTCCAGAGTGAAGTTGTGATGTATATTATAAGAGGAAAGAGAAGGGTCTTCGAGGATGACCCTAAGACGTGCGGGTGGAGATGTCCATTTGGCAGGTGGATGGAGGAGTCTGGAGTTCAGGAGAGACGCGGGCTGGACAAACAATAAGGGTCTCCCCTGTGAAAGCCTGGACGAGATCTGGAAGAGGATAAGGTAGATGGAAAAGAGAAGGGGACCAAGTACTGAGCCATGGGACACTCCAGTGTTAAAAGCAGGCATCAGCAAGAGAGGGTGAGAAGGTTCATCCAGAGGAGCAGGAAGAAAACCAGGCAAGTGAGACGTCCTGGAAGCCAAGCGAAGAAAATGTTCCAGGGAGCAGGGAGTGATGGAAAGTGCCAGATGCAGCCGATGGGGGTCATTGGTCACCCTGACGAGGGCGTGTCGTAGAGGGGCAGGGGTGAAAGGCTGGTTGGAGAGGGTTTAAGGGAAAATTAGGATGAGCAGTTGGAGGCAGCAAGTGTAGACAATTCTTTTGAGAAATTTTGCTGAAAAGGGAAGGAAATGAATGAGCATTGCTGGACAGGAGATAGGGTTTTTAGTCTTTAAGACGAAGAAAATAAGGCCGGGCGCGGTGGCTCATGCCTGTAATCCTAGCACTCTGGGAGGCCGAGGCAGGCGGATCACTCAAGGTCAGGAGTTCGAGACCAGCCTGAGCAACAGTGAGACCCTGGGAGGCCGAGGAGGGAAGGATCGCTTCAGGCCAGGAGTCGGAGACCAGCCTGAGCAACATAGCGAGACCCCTGTCTCTACAAAAAAAAAAAAGGGGGCCGGGCTCGGTGGCTCCCGCCTGTAATCCTAGCACTTTGGGAGGCCGAGGCGGGCGGATTGTTTGAGCTCAGGAGCTCGAAACCAGCCTGAGCAAGAGCGAGACCCCGTCTCTACTGAAAAAAAAAATAGAAAAATTAGCCAGGTGCAGCTACTCAGGAGGCTGAGGCAGGAGGTTCACTTGAGCCTAGGAGTTTGAGGTTGCAGTGTGCTACGATGATGCCATTGCACTCTAGCTTGAGCAACAGATGCAGACTCTGTCTCAAAAAAATAAAAAAAATTCCAGTTGACGGTAAATCCAGGAAGGCCTCCCGGAGGAGGGGAAAAGCAAAGGAGCTCATTATTAATATCGTTTGTTAATTGAACGCATCCACCGTGCTGGGAGCTACATAAAGCTGTTTTTATCCTCAAAACAATCTCCAACCCGAGGGGTGAAGTTACTTAGCTAGGGTCACAGAGCAAGGCAGCTTTCGAACCCTGGGCTGAGCGATTGCAAAGCCTGACAGGTCCTGGAAGATG